TTTCTGTCACCGCCTGTTACCCTCAGATTGAGCGCTATGGGGCAAGGACACATCTCTCTGAGTGCATGGGCTCACCCGCTTGAAGAGTGGTATGAAACCGGACCGAAAGATGGAGGGGAGAAAACAATTCCTCCCTCCCCACCCACAAATACCAGTAACCCCAGTTAACAAGAAGTTGTTTCTTACCTTGTCCAGTTACCCTGCCAGAGGGCACAGAACACCCTCATTCCATGGTGCATAGAATGGTAATAAATACCCTTTCTGAGCCAAGAAGCCAGGAAAGTGGTGAACATCCTCTTCGTCCGTAGGCTTTCCCTGTTGACACTGAAGAATCTTTTGGGAGTCTCCTCTTTCTAGAGTTTAGTGGCCTTGTAGTGAACCATCAGTGTCACCTTAAAGGCTATTACTGGATCTGACTCCACCACAAGCGAAGAGAAAGATAAACCAGGAAAATTAACCTATATAAACATATGCTGTACAAATAATTAAACACACGTGATGCTGCCTCCACTGGCAGGAGCAGAGAGCAACCTCTGCCATTCAGCAGCTACTGAGTTGGAGAAATATTCTCATCACATTGTCAAATCGTAACATGTACTCTTAGAAAAATGTTTATTCCTCATACATTTGTGTCATCAACTAAGGAGAGACTTAAGGAGAAAAAAACAGACTTACATTTTTCTTTTTTTCTCGAAAAGATATGATTAGTGAGATACATGTCCAGCTACACATTTATATTTCACTTAGCAGAGATGGTTTGTGAGTTACCTGGTGTTACAACCTTATTAGACTGAATCGTTTTCTTCTCCTTGTGACATTTATTTTACCAGTTTGCTGTGTGCTCCTCTGGTACAAAGAATATGAAGTATTCCTATAGGATTTGCATTAATTAACTGGAAAAAAGAGTGGCTATTCAGTTATCATTACATCATTTTAGTTAGTAGGGTGCTTTTAGAATGAATGACAGAAACCACTTAAATTGAAAAGCCTTTTTTTCCCCCTTCAGCGTATGGGGAAGGTGCTGATTAGAGTCAACCGCCGCATTCAGCACCACAGGCACCTTTCTGCCGAGGGAGGCTTTTGCAGCGATCGCCTTTTAAAGCCAGGAGCCCATCTCCACTAACAGCCTTGGAGACATCTGAATTGCAGCTGCAAGTCTTTAACTCATAGGTGTGTTGGTATTGTCAGCCAGCATTCCCCATGCTTGTGAGAAGCATTTATCAGCAAGAAATTAGTATCTGCTCTTCTGATGCTCTTCATTTCTGGGAAGATGAAATTCCTGCATGAAAAGCTGATGGTGCTTTACTTCTGCCTTATAATTGGCTCCCTGAGGCAAATGTACAGTCACGGTAACTACAAAGAAAAAACAGGGTATCCAAACGCAGAGCCCTTCCTCTGCTCACCTCAGAAACTGAGGCTGATGGAGGAGCCAAGTTAGGGAAAAAAAAGGTATATTGTTTTGTACTGAGCTTCATTTCCATGCATGTGTTAACGCTACTTTGAGCTATTTCAGTTATACTGTTTTCAAGTGCACATATCCAATAATCAAAGAAATTATGCTTGATGAAGTGCATGTCAAATCGTTTGTGCATGTAACCCCTCCTAAACTCTACATAAACTATTTTCATTACAATGCTTCAACATTTTTGTACTTCCTACCCACCTTACTTCTACTCCTCTACCCCTTGTGCCCTGCTCTTTCAATACAAATCCCCTTTTTCATCCTTCATTTAATTCAGCCACTCTTCTTTGCCATCTTCATTCAGCCATTTCTTTCTGTGTCTGAGCTGGATTTTCTCCTGTGAGCTCATCCCATGTAACAATTGTCTTGTTCACCTGTCCTGAACACCAGCACGTGTAAGTCCTTCTCCCAACAGCATAGCCCGTGTACTTCTCCCTCAAAGAAAGGAGACTCGGGACTGATGTACACACCTGAGTTTTGGCGGTCTAGGCCTTTCTGTTCTCCATTCAGGCTTCAAATAAGGTGACAACATCTTGCTTTGATTTCCTTGGCCACTCTGGTGGTCTTGCTTTTTCAAGCCCAAAATGGCAAATGCAGCAGAGACACACAATGCACGTAACAGCTGTGGAGCCCTGCTGCTGTACCCCGAGCCTGCCTCCCTCGGCCCCTCTGCATCACCCCTCTACGAGGTGACTGAAGCTCTCTCAGTTTACTTGAGACAGGGCCATAGTGAAAGCGCACACACAGCTCTGGCAGCTGAGCTTGACTCAGCGTAATTTAAAGTCACAAGTTGGAACTGATTAACTGACTATAAAATCAAAACCGTTTGGCTTTTTTAAACTGGAAAAACACAGAGTCTTTGAATCTTCCAAACTCTAAACTGCTCTGACAAGTTTTACATTTTTACATTTTTTGGCATTGCAAAGATTTCAATCAAGCTTTCACTTAAAGAAGTGCAGCTTCCTCATGGACCCTGACACGCTGTGTGAGACTGGTGCTGGAAAACCAAGCAGCCAGTTTTCCAGGACTAGTTAACTACTGCTAACTCAGTAGTAAGGAGCTTCCCTTCGTCACCACTTAGAGACCCTGAGTTCCTCCTTTCGGGGACAAATTATCGGCAGCTGTGCAAGTACCACAAATAAGAAATCTCATGAGCTTTATTTCTCTTTAGTTTTGTACGCAGTTGGGATCCAGTTAAACAAGGTCAATTTGCAATCCAATAAATGCTTTCTATGCAACAAGTATTTGGCGAATTCTCTCTACTGCAACACTTTCTACTAATAAAATGTTCATTAACTACCTAAGTATATTTTAAACAAGATTAATACAAAGCTAGGCCTTGAAATAGAAACCATCAGTAGAAGGATCTTATACTAAGAAAATTTGCAAACAGATACTTAAATCTGTATGGAGCAGAGACCTTGTATTTGAGTAGAACAACTAAAACAACCTGGGTTTGAGTCTACTGGAACTGCAGTTTAATCTCAAGAACCAGAATGACGTAATTGAAAAACACCACCAGAAGCTGAAGTTAGTTACAGTCCTGTGGTTAAACCACTGAATTAATAATAAAAACTCTTTAGGCAATGAAAAAAATACCACCGTGTGTTGTGTGTGTGAAAACAAATGGTTTTAACTTAAGTGCCATTGCCCCAGTTCGGTGAATATTCAAGTGGTGCAGCTTTTTGCCCTTCTCTGCAATGTGCTGTCAACTGTGTAATTTTTAGGCGTGGAAGATGCTTTTGAACCACTCTAGGTGCTCATCTGATCCAGTACACAGTTCTTCCTACAGCATTTTGATTTGAAGACTAAGGAAAGTTATCAGAAACAAATCAGTCCAAGGAAAAAACAGCAAATCACTTCTCAGAGCTCTTGCTTTAAAAAAAAACAAGCCAAACCAAAAAACGGGAATTTAGAATGTATTTCTCACCTTGTTACCAGATTACTTGGCCACTTCTAAACAAGGATTAAGGCAGTTACGAAGAAAGAAACAACTACTTCCTACATTTTTAGGATCACTGAAGTTCTAGGAGAACATTGGCACAAAAACTATATTACACATGTACATTCACTTGCAAATATTTTAATGTAGCTCCAAACATAAAAATGTTGGTAACTGTACAGAATTCTGTTAGATGTCAGGCCCAAGATACGGTTACTTGTATAAAAACGCCCCTCTGTCAAGGTATTTGCATTTTGTAAGGTCGTTTCTAGTGGGAAGGTCCCTGCCCACAGCCAGGGGTTAGAACTTGGTGATCTTCAAAGTCCCTTCCAACCCAAACCACGCTATGGTTCTATTTAGTGACATTGTTGGCCACTGACCCCTGCTATTGTCTACAATTTCAGTTGTTGCTCACATGTTTCGTAACAGTGAGGAAGTGGTGCAAAATCACCTGGAAGGGTCAGGAGGTAACTTCTTAATTCCAATTTTAGTGAAGATTGCCACTGAAAGATGGACATTTTACCTGCCTTTTTGTCTTTTTTTCTATCTACTGATGGAAACTACTGATGAGCTGTTGACTCGCTGAGAACATAAACGTCAGCAAATACAAGACTGCATTTTATATCAGAATCCTCTGCCTCTCACAAATGTACCATGGGGTTTACCCACAGCACCTAAAATAGATATGGGATCTGCTTATTGCTTAAAGATCTGCAAGAGTTAATAAAATTCAGAAGAGAGTATCCTCAGTAAGTACGCTATTTGAGATAAATACAGATAACAGCCATCATATCTAAGCTTCCCAATTTCAGCCTGTTTAAGTCCAAATACCATTTTCATGACACTACAAGCTTTATGACAAAATAACATATGGCACAGTAACTTCTCCAGCAAAGATACGTGGACAAGAAAGTATTTCAGAGTAAAATGTGACCAAGTGGAACGTTTCCTTGACCCAGATACAAACCTGGTTTGCTAAGGTCAGTCCCAGAAAAACCCAAGTACATTTTCTGTCCCTGCTTTTTAATTTAAAGCGTAGCTCTAGGAGACAGTGTAGGGCATTTGCCACTCTGTAAAGGGGATGGAATTTTGCAATTAATTTCTGTGGGTCAAAAAGCCCGGGCCCTGTAGTTACTGAAAATACCAAGATAGCAGTGTGCCAAGGAGCAAAGGAAATACAATGCCAAAGAAACGCTGAATTGAGCAACGGAGTTAGCAATGGTGATTAGCAAAATCTGTTCTTTTGTCTTGGCAAAGGATCAGCAACTCACAGGCTTCCTGAAGCGCAGGGCTTACTCACAGGAGCAGGGCTTACTCACAGGAGCAGTCCACGTCCAGCCCTGCCCCACCGCTGCCGTTGCAGCCATCTGATACCGGGGCACCGTCTCCCCCCACTGTCCCCTGGTCCACGCAGCAGCCGGACGGGCTCTGGCTGGGGCAGACCCGCGCGTTGTCGTCATCAGGATCGCAGCTGACAGGACACGTTTCTTCTGATGCCCCGTCGTGATGGGTGCCTCTGTCATCGGTCTCTGCTACCTCATCTCCCAAGCCGATGACATCATCCAGCTGCTGTTCTGCATCAGGCTTGGCTGCTGCCGAGATCTGTGCTTCTAAGTTTCTTGTGTTCTCTGTGTCTTCAAATTCCTGCTTCTTCTCTGCCATTTGCTTCTCCTTGGTGCTTAATTTGGCCTTTGCAGATTTCTTCATTTGTTTGTTGCGCATGTCTTCTTTGGAGAACCTCCAGTGAAACTACAGGTAAGAGATCCAGATGTTAAAGGCCATTAGAGACAATCTTACAGAGATGTTTGCTTTCCTGAGTGGAAATGTCTTTATTATTTAGTTCTAATTCGAAGACTAGTTTGCACAAAAAGACCTAAGATTAAACAAACTGCATGACTAAATCAGATGGCTTAAGATCATTTGTCCCTACACATAATATATCTACACGCAATAGATCCATTACAGAGAGAAAAGCAGCTGTGATGCATTCTGCCTCTGCTGTCTCACGCCTGGTGGGTTCCTCTCCACAGGCTGTGTCGCTGTCAAGGCCTACAGCGCCCTGGCAGCCAACCTGCGCTGCGTGCAAAGCCAGGATCTGCAGAGCTGCCCAAATGCAGACAGAGGAAGCAATCCTATGGCGTTATTCCAGTGTTTTTTCACCAGGTTAGCAGCAGAACTAACACTACATCCAAGACTAAATCCAAACAGTAAAATATGCTGAACCATTTGGATGAATGTTTTCTGATGAGAAAGCATGAAGCTGCCTCTTGCATTGCTCGCCACGAGACTTGCTAAAGCTGCCATCTTAGCAGACCTGTTTTAAATACTATTAAAAAAAAAAAGAGAGAACTTGCAGTACACTGAAATCTTGAAATCCTGACTCAAGAGATATAACATATATAGAGTCTGACAAATAGGTCACTAGTATATCTGCTTCATTTACCAAAAACCAAATGGACCTTCTCAAGGAAAACCAGACCATGTTCTGAGCCATCCTACACAAGTCTGCCTAGGACATGTGAATGCGCACAACCATGTCCTCAGCAGTGCCCATGCTGATGGAAACTCAAGGATGGGTTAGGAGGCAATGTCTGGATGGCATAAATAATCTCATCAGTGCATTCAGCACATTCAGCTGTGGTCCAAAAGCCATTTTTTTCCAGTGCAACCAGGTGCATGCCAAAGTTGGTCAAAAGAAGGACTCATGTTCATAAATTTTTGATCTAGTTATTCCTTAATCAAAAGCCATCCAAAACCTATTATGTTTATTAGATTACAAAGATGGAGCAATGCTCTTTCCGTCTGCCAGCCAGAAATTAATGTAAGAAGAAAATAAAATAAAACCACAACTGGTTTTCCCCAGGTTCTCTCTGGGTTTCACTTAAAGGAAGCTATCTTTCACTTAAATATCATTACAATTTAGTGAAAGAGGAAAGATAACATCTCAGTTCTAGAGCTCAACTGTTTTTAATACAGAGGCACATAATATTTTCCTCTTTGATTTCCAGAAGTGCTGCGCACCCACAGCTCCCCTTTAACTCAACGCTCCCTTTGATGGAAGGTAAGGTCAGGGCCCTAAATGCGATAAGGATCAAGCTGTAGGAGACTCTTGTGTTATGTGCAGATGTTTGTATCCTTAGTCAGGTATTTATGTTGTATTTCACAAAAATGCACACAGCCAGCTTCTGCTGAAATAAGCATCGCTTTTGTGAAAAGTGAATGAACACAATCACCTAATCACTGACTGAATAGTGCACTAATAAGAGTGCTTCTGTCTTACTGAAGAGAAAAATAAGTTGTACCACTCCTTGCATGTTTCCTTTTCTCTTCCTGTGGCTACACTGGACAGCAGCTGGTTGGTGTGCATAGATAGGATGGATCAGTTTCCAACACTGCAATGTCCTTTTAATCTTCTCAGCCTATTTCCCTCCTCCAAGGAGTTATCTATAAACATTTTAGACATGCTCTATCACCAGTTAAAAAAACCCTGAGAGCCTGTGACGTTGTACATGCAGAATATTCAGCAACTTAATCAAATGCTAGGTTTGGCATCTTCGATGTGATTCACAACCACCACTTAGAGATGTTGAACCAGTCTTCCATTTCTTTATAAAAACTATAATCAATGTACCCCATTTTTCCTTGAGCTTTGGTATGAAAATGTGCTGCAGTGATTTTGCCCTCAAAAATGTCTGTATATTTAATACTGCCAACGAGCAGACGTTTTGTTTTGTCAACCAGACATTGTTGAACAAGTTTTTATATCCCCAAATGAAAAAATTTAAACAAAGTTGTGAATCATCTGGATGGTATGCGTTTGTTATTGTAACACAAGAAATCAGTATCATACTAATTTCTCTATTTGAAGACATATAATCACTTATAGGTTCCCACTCCTTCCATTAAAACTGCACACAGTGGTAGATCATCATCCCAAGATCCCTTTAATCCTCAGAAAACAAAGGGATAAAATAAGGAAGATGGGCTTTGTAACACGTTCACAGAGTACACTGGGCTCCAGCTTTGCTAATGAGAGATGGTAAATCCTAAAACCAGTCGTGCTCCCAGCGGTTCTCAGTTCAAATACTGTCCTGGTCTCCACTGTATCTAAAAGACGACTTTCACAGAACCAGGCTCCTAAAAAGAGGGATTTATAGATTAAAATTATCTGTGATTATCTAAAATGTTGGACAGAATCACAGAATGGGTTGGGTTGGAAGAGACCTTAAAGCTCATCCAGTCCAACCCCCCTGCCGTGGGCAGGGACACCTCCCACCAGACCAGGTTGCCCAAAGCTCTGTCCAACCTGGCCTTGAACACAGATTAAATGCTTCTAGTGCTCAGCCCTGTTTAGCGTTTCCCATCTCCCCCTTTAGCTAAGACTTGGGAGGGCCTGGAGTGCACAACTCCTTCAGGTGCTCTTTGGCTGGCCAGCACTCCCTAAGTGCACAGTGCTAGAATGAGGACAAGGATGTATTAATTAGCAACCCTTCCATCATGTGGCTGCAGAGATCCTTTCTGTGCTTCACATGGCACTTCTGATCCCTTGCATACTGAAAGGGGAAGGCAAATTTGGGTACTATAGGAAGGTCAGCACTTTCTCAGTTTCCAGTCCTTATATTTCCCTCTCAGCTGTATGGCATGACAGGTTTGGGCAGGGGTTTCCACAGCGATGCATTTAAAAATGGAAACGGGAATACATATGTGTATCCACATACGTACATCATTAGATGTCAGCTACGTTCTCGGATAATTTAGCTGCACTCGGGGGGCTTTTTGGGGTTAAATTCTGGCAGAATTCATTAACATTCACACAACAGATAGAAATAGGAGCCAAGATCAGGCCTACATTGTGCTTGGCTCTACCAAAACATGCAGCAAGACAGAGAGAGCAATTTAAACAGAAGAGACAGGCAAGGCGTGAGAGAAAATAGCGTTGGTCCCACCTTGCAGGCAGTGAACATGGGCAGAGAATTTTAGGTCACGTATGGAGTCTTATGGACAGTTTATGTAAAGAGAAATCTATGTCTCTTCTGCTGCCGTGAAATAAAAGAGCATTTTTTGTTTCCTTCATTTGAACAGTTCAGTTCCTTCTGTCTTGCTACTGTATCACAGAAATTTTGAACAGGCCATTTTTACTTCTATGGGAAATCAATTACAATATTAAAACACCACCAACAAAAAAACCAAAGAAACCAGAAACTCAGGGTTATTTACCTTAGATTCTTTCTTCTTCGCTTTCTGGGGCAAAGAAGGTCTCTGAAGAAATACAATTTGCTTTGTAGATAAATTCCCCTCCCTGAAAAGAAACAAATGCACACTCCTGAGAATGAATTAAATTCACATCCAGCATCATTCAAAGTGAAAATCCATCTCAGTCACTTATTTCTGCAGGTCAAAGAAGAACAAAATGAAGAATGACCTAAACATCGCCTGTCCCCAGTGCCTTTGAGCAGCCTGGCATTTTGGGAGGAAAAAGAGCAACTGTTCAGCCTGATAGAGCCTGTGACATACTTTTGCTGAATGTTTTAGCATTAGTGTAAAACAGAAAAAAATGGAACAAAAAGCAAGAAAGCCAAGCGTCCCGGTGCCTGTGCGTAGCAGCGTCTTGCTGACATCGGATTGCTCCCTCCCTCCCTTGGCGCTGATCCGGATGGGGCCAGATGCTCCCTGCAGGTCTGCAGCACAGCCACAACCAAGGCCACCAGCAGACAGACTGGGTGGGTGCCCTCTGCACCATCAACCTGACCCGTGTTACTGAAGTTGCAAATGGGATATAGAAAGCCAGAAAAGAAAGGAAACCATATACACCTTTAAGAGACAGCGCTTACAAATCGTAATTGTGATTTTTTTATTCATTCCTATATTTAAACATATGAAAAACTTAAATACTGCTTTCCCCCAGCACAGATGGCCTTTATATTTTAGTTTTTTATGTGAAGGAGTAGTCTTCATCTAGAGCTCATAAAGAACTCTTTTAAGATAAAAAAATCATGACTGATTATAGTGGTGTATATATAAATATATTCCTGGCCAGTGAAAATTCAGAAAGTGCCATCTTCATGATTAACAAGCAGGATGGTTGCTTTTTACCACAGTTATGAAGAGTATTTTTAAAAGACTTGCATTTATATTTAAAAAATCAGGATATTAATAATAGCAAAGTAGACCGTAGAATGATTATCTATGCAAATAGGGTTACTGGAGTAATGATACACCAATTTCCCGTGGTTATTGGCTAGACTGTGTATACCAGCAGCATTAGACAGACACTGAAGAAGAATAAAATGACTTTTCTTCAGATAGGCAACATCTCAACTCTAAATGCTATCACAGGATCTGTCTTTGCTCTAAGAAGAGTTACTGGGAGAGATCCAGAGCAGGAATTTTACAATCAAGGAGGAGTTTGCAAAGAGGCAGAGACAATACCCAGAAAACACATGCAGAAACCACACTTGCACCTTGCAGTGTTTTGCCCACCAGACACACGCTTCCTGCCCCACATGGCCTGTGGTGCTCAGGAAACCCAGGGCTTGCAAGGGCAGCTGCTGTATGCGTGCAAGGAAATCCAAGCCAACTGCACGGAGAAGTGCTTCTACAGAGAGAAATGCTCGTTCAGACTCTGGTACTTGTACAGACTCTGGTGCTTCTAAAGCATCTTCCCTGGCCGAAAAGCAGCGCCCATCCCCTCCCTACCTGTTTGTCTTCACAATGGGAGTGGGAAGCACGCACGTCAGCTGCCAGCCGTACATGGCCAGGGAATTCAGCAGCGGGACATAATCCGTCTGCACTTCAACTCCCTAGGAAAGAGAAACCAACAGTTAGCATCATCACTTGAGTGTGATGTTTGGTTTGACACCAAAAAAACCCATCTATGAAAAAAATGTGGGTTTTCTGGGAGGGAGAAAGGGGTTTTGCACCGAAGTGGGTAATTTTTTATGTTCAGCTAGGCAGGAAGGAAAGTGTTCGAAAACATGAAACACAGGACCGATTGCCCATACATCCCAAATGGTTAAATTAATTTGTTTAAAATGGTAAACATCTGTGATCTTGTTTTTACACTGTCTGAGTCATCCATCTGGCTTTAGATGATTCCAGTTCTGAACAGAACAAATTAATTGTATTTTATCAATGATCTCCTCCCAAGCAAAGAAGATACTCAAGCAGTTAAAAAATGACAACGTTGCTTTGCTTGGATTCTGCTCTTGTCCAGGCTAGAGTAAATCCTGAAGATCTGTACTGAAATCAGTTGCCTTATTACTCTACCATGATGGATCAAAAGCAAAATAGCCAACAACAACAAAAATAAAATATAAGTACCCGTCTGTTCCTTTTATCCCTCCCCTCAAATACACATTGCTTCCTTGCTATTTTGAATCAGGAAATCTGTGGGCGAGACCAAAAACGTTGTGCCTTTCAGTGCAGAAGTCTGGCTCCAGCCACAGACCTACCCAGCAGAGCTTTCCTAATTCTCTTTCTCCGAAATGGCAAACCCTGTAATTCGCACGGAAAGAACCACTGGGGCTTTCAACAAAGGTTGTCCAGCGAGGTGTCTAATTGCCAAGACTTCCAGTGATGTAACAAATAGGTGCAAGAGCGTATTTACCAGTTTTGAATTTTAATAAACACAAAGCAGGCAAATGGTAACTACCAGTCTCTACAAATCTAGCTCTATTCCTTTGGAGTAACAATCCTATTTTCCCAAAAGCTCAGGCACTGACACTGGTTTCATGTGCGTACCAGGAGCTTTAACTGCCAATTCTTAACACTGGGACAAGGCACAATAGTTCTCCAGCTCCAAAAAATCCATTTGTTCCGTAGTAATAAAACAGTCATTTGATCAGAACTAATCCAAATCCTGCTGTACTTACCTCAAGGTATTTTAGTCAATTCCAATCTCAGCTATTCCTTTCTTCTAACGAGTATAATTTAGGTCACTTGATATCTTCATAACTGAATGCCTGCCTGACTGTACCTATTAAAAACCTGATCATGACTACAAATGCAAATAGCTGAAGCAGCTGTATCCCTCCTGCTTAAAAAAGAAGAACGAAAACCCTACCCCAGAAAGTGCATACAAGGGAACACTCTGCTAATGAGAATTATGATTTCTGTGCATGCAGAAGCTTTCAGGGACTTACACAGATAGTTACTTTACTACATCACCATGTACCGACCAAAGTTGCTAATTCCAGGGTAAGAAAGAGATGCCTTCAAGAGGGGAGCAATACCATGTGGCCTCTGAAGCATTCATACAGTTGTAACTGTGGCAGATTTGGTCTCTTCAGACTCCCACTTCTCTCCTTGCTCGTCTCGTGCTTTATACCCACTGTAAGATGGTGCTTCCACCCCCTTTCCAGTTTTTAAAATTAAGTGTTCAAGGGTAACGCAAACACAATGACCTATCTAGATGCCTTTAAGAGCTCATGTCACAGGAAAACAGATTAATATCACACTGAGATTTATGAGATTGGTCAACAGTGCCTTCCAAAAACAAAGATGAAAATATGCACCATGAGCATTGAGAGTAAGGTCAGAGCATCCGTGATTGCAAGCCCACCTCAGACCTGGAAGGACACGTAAAAGGATCTGACCAAAACATCCCCTCCATCAAACAGCATTTGTAGAGGAAAAACCAGAAGGAGCTCACTCATTTAGAAGGTGGAAGACGAGCAGGTCAGGAAAGGCTGGCAAGGCAGACCTTGTTTGTGCCCCAAGCCAGCAGAGGATTTCCATTTTGACTGCATCGCCTAAGGTTGGTGATTAGCGAGGAGAACCTTCTCCTTGCATCAGGATGTGCAACGAATGTCAAAAATCAGAGGGAGATTACAGCAATGAGGAAGGACATCAAGACCACGCAGAGCTCATTTGGCTGCTGCAGAAGCCAAATTATTTCAGGGACGCACCGTCACTCCTGCCACAGCGTGCTGTCCCTGCAGGCTCTGAGTGGCGAGCCATGGCTGGCTTTGGACCTGTCTGACCTGTCAGGACTAAGCATCATCTGCAGCAGATGATGCTGTATTTCCCAATCCCAGTGGGGAGAAGGGAAAAGAGCAGGTAAAGCACATTGAAAACTTGGAAGTTATCAGAAATTAAATTTAAGATTAAAGTCAATTAAGCCTAAAGAAAATTAAAAAAAAAGTCTGGAAATGTAGAAAGCTCTGTTGAAAGTGTGCTGTACAACTGTAACAAAAAGGTGACCTCTGATTTTTCCTATGTGCTGGTACCTGATGGCACAAGTCTGCATGTCAGGCTGTTTGGGGGAAGGAAGGGTACACACGATGCAGAGATGCACAGCCCTCACATGCTCCTTCAACAACCTCCCACCGACGCTGCATGGCGCTTTGCTGGAGTCAGACACTGCACCTCTTCCCTGGGGGAATAAACTCCCACTAATAACTGGCTGCATTTGAAGATGATAGACAAGAAAGAGTCGCTCCTGAATAAACTGGTGTAATTCATGCACGTTTCAAGCTCCTTACTTGCAAATACAGATAATTGAAGATTTCTTGAAGACCACAAGAAATGACTTCTCCCTCCCCCTCCTGAATCACGGCTGTAATCCTATCCCACAACTGGAATTTGTGTGCCAGCAGGAGTCACAGTTATGCAGACCTTTAATTGGTGTCATATTAAATGCTTTCCAAAGCAAAAAAACCAAACGATACGCTGGAGGACGGGTGCAGAGGAAAAGAGTCATCTTGTATTCATTTTATATTTATGCAATAATTAAAATTATTTTATCTTCTATTATTTGAGACAAGGGCAATAAAATTTCAAATGTATAGTTTCATAAGACAAAATTGCAATGCTCTACCTAGCAAATATTGGATTTGAACACCAGCAGAAGTAGAAAGTATGTGCCAGAGCTCTGCTGAAAAAAGAAGTGTTCAAATAATGCGTCTCAAACTGGGAGACATTTCATTCAGTGAAAGGGTGGAAAAATTTTAATTAACTTGCTTCCCACTCTCCTGTGGATGATAAGTAATCTCTGATCACACCTTGAGTGTCAAGAAGCCAGAGCGTATTGAGCTCGGTTTTTCCCTTGACTTGCATCACATGAAAAGAATTCATTTTATTTTAGTTGCACTGTTTGTTTTCAGCATTTTCTCCTTTCACAGTTGTTCTGCTCATTAGAAAAAGAAAAAAAAGATTAAAAAAATGATAACGATAATATCTAGGGCAAGCCACACAAACAACTGCATTAACAATTTTTCTTTTCTTTTTACCCCCTACTGCGGCAATTTTAACCACAGCAAGATAATAAACACGACAACTACTAAGCTCTTGTGAGACAGAAAGTTCTTTAGAAATCGTTCTTTCCTGGGCTAAGTGAATGTGATTTACTTAGAAGACAGCTACGGATTGTCACAATTTAATATTTTTTCCAACATGGATTAAAAAGTGGAAGATTGAAAATGCCGTTAAATAAATCTTAATAAAACCTTTATCAGCAAATCCTGACAGACCGCGTACTAAGATCTACAGACAGATGGCAAAGAGAATGGGAAGTAAAAAACAGGAGTTGCTTTCAAAGTGCAACCTACTGCTTGGCGGGGGAACAGGCAGCGCATTCAAACCCAGCTCCTTCCAAAAAAAAATCACGGGGAGAGCCCATGAGGGGGTAACGTGCACCCCCAGCCAGGGCTGGTAACCAGTCCCCACTGCTGCCAAAGCCAGCGCTTCCTCCTAGGGCACCAAGGGGAGGATGAGGGAACAGCAAAGGCAGGACCTGCACCTTAGTGGAAAAGAGGGAAAATAAAATGAGATAAATTGATTATATGGGCTGTGCGAGAATGACCCAGTAAGCGATGCTGCAAATGTTTTATGCTTGTGCTAACACCGCCAACAAGGAGACTAAATCCAAGCTCTAAATTTGTGAGTTATTTCCCTTTTTCCTTTTCATACTTCTTCCAAAAGGTAATTTCTGCAAACAATGTAGCATTATCGATCCATTAAAAACACTTATTGGAAGCAAAAGAGAAGTTTCACAACTGTCTCAGCAAGAAAAGCTGGGTGTGCTCCTCTAGTATCGAGCTGCTCCTAAATCTCAGTGTTTAATACACCAACAGCACCTTGCTAGCAGACGCTCGCTATTCGTCCATCAGCTGTACAGCAAAGGGACGTGGGGTGGCTTCTACACCCTTAGAAACCATCAGTAGCTTTTGGCAGCTGATGGGTCACTGACCAACACCGACTAACTACTAAATTGGGACCTTAGTGGAGAGTTAATAGATAAAAATAATAAATAAATCCACAGACAGGCCTTTGTCTCACTATTCTGGGCATATGTAATTTAGACTTATGTATGATTACTTAATATATGTGAATTCATGTACTGTGAAATATATTTGAGAATATAATAAGGCCGTAACACTATATGAAGTAACATCCTGTTAAGACCGTTTTTCTGAAATATAGATGTAACCAGTCCCGATTTCAACACACACACAGGCTGCTGAGTAGCATTCATATCTGACTCCACATCTAGGGTAAGACAAGAAACAACAACAAACCCTCCTGTGCCCACAAAGCCCACTTCTCTCAGTGACTTGTGCGGATGCAAATCCTACTTTCTTGCATATGTAGAAACTACCAAAACCGTCTGAGTGCTCCTGATGTTGCCTGCACTCGTAACAGAGAAGCACATTTGTGCAGCAACACGATTTTGCATTTCTAGAAGCACAGGATAGGTAGCAAAAGCTGCACAAGGTCAATGTGTCGACAGGGAGGGTTCTCCAGAAAGGAAGCACAGAGGCACCTTATGAAATATGTTAAACTTACATTGCACAGGCAACAC